GGGGGGGGGGGGGGAGAATTGAGAGCTATGCCCTCAGGTGTTACGATCCATTTGGCGAGTAACACTGCTTTGTGCCGCCCGTGAAAGCTGTAATTAGCAAGGCGATAATTACTCTGATTAGTAGAATCCTTCGTAATTGTCTTCGTAGCAGAGACAGCGGGCTGAGTTCATTGGCAAAGCGCAACAACGTTACCGGGAAAATTTACTTAACGGGGTAAGCTTTGGATGTTCAGGCTTAAAGCAATGGGATGTCTGATAAGACCTGGAAATCTGAGGATCTCAGTATTAGGTTCATCAACAGTCGTATTTAGTTTGAGAATATAATTTCACTTGAACAACTGAAATATCACGTCATCTACATATTCTATTAACTATTTTACAACCATTAGGTTATTTCTGACCAAGTAACGTTTCCATTTTCTTATTCTCTCCTTTTTGTTTTGACCCAAATGTTTTCTTAGTTCTTCGAAGACTTCCATGAATCGGTGACAAGATATAAGAGGGTATTTCCTGACTGCAGTCTTAATTCTTTTTCAAGTCTTTTTCCAATAACTCTCTCATGTTAAATTCTTTTGTTACCAGTATAAACAAAGTTTGTTCACTATTTATATTAATAATATTTGTGAATAAAATTGACATCGAGTCACACTCGACAAAGGAGTTCAAAGGTTTCAATATAATAGCTAAATAACGGAATAATTTATCACAAATCCTGTCAGTTCTAGCAGTCTTCTAACCCTGCATTCTACTTTTCTGTTCGCAGAGAGATGTCACTAGATCAACGACCGAATTCATCGACAAAGAGCAGGTGACTAGTATGGTAGCGCGGGATGTCGTCGACGACACCCAGCTCAACAAGTTCATCGGCTCGGTCCCGAAATCGCCGGCGGATTCACCGCGGAAGACCTCGCCGGAGAGGCCAGGTTATCCGCGTGGAATCCCTGGACTCAGAGAAGACAATCGACCGAAACCGATTCCAGCCGCTGGAAAACCGAGTCGACCACCCCAACGGGACGACAGTCCCAAAAGGTATCGTATATTTGTCACAAAATTTATGAAAAAGTTACTTGATTGAACGTGGTAATTCCAATTTTTATCATAAAATAATATTTCTTCTTAAGTGAGATGATGATTTTTCTGCTTTAGTCTGAACCCAATAAGTTACTTAAGAGAAAAAATAAATTTCTACATTTGCTCCTGTTTCTATATATTACTCTAGAAAATGATATTTTGCATAAAAATCCGCAGTCTAGTAACCTTCCAAACATTCTTATACTTCGGTAACTTCGATTTATATTCATAGTACATCCTAAAGATATATAAGTTATAACTGAATTTCGAATGAAAAAATATCCATGAAAAACTACGAAACTTTCTGACCCACTTAATAGTATGTAGATGACCGTGGTCAGGCTGTAGACAGATAAGTATTGCCTGTCTGTCTCGTGTTGTGAAATGGAAAAACTAGAGACAGTGTCGACGGACCAGTTCTTATTAGTTCGTTTGTACTATTTGTGGACTGACCGTGGACATTCACAGGCTTTGCATGCGGACACACGTGTGTAGGTGACGTCTGTATGTGTGTATATGCAGCATAAGACGCCACAACGTGATGACGAAGTAGACGAGCACGCGTGGAAAGTGACGCTGAGTACGCAAATATTGAAATTCCAAACTGGATTTTAATCGAAGACAAAGTACATAGAGAGTCGAGAAATTCTCTAAGTTCGGTCTGTAAACAATGGTTTTATGTTTCGAACGAGATTACGGCTTCACTGTTGATCGTCTCGCTATCTGTACGTTTAACTTAGAGATTCCTATCGTTTGTATTAGACCTGTAGCTAAGTGGACCATGCCATTTTCGTGCAAGTACTTGATATACGTTGTCAATATTGTATCTTTAATAAGTAATGAAAAATATTCCAGTCACGGAACTGGAACTACCGAAGATGAACGTGATCCTATTTCGATCGCAATGGTAAAAACTTGTTGGAAATATGCAAGTTGATAAATTGACGAACTTCTTCACTTATACAGAGTGTCCCATTTAAATCGACCCACTCGAATATCTTCGAAACTATTTCTGGTATTAAAGGAGCAGATCATATGAAGGTCAACTTTGTTTTTGAAAACAGAATCTAACATTTTTTAATGATTTATAATTAATAATATTATAGAATGATTTTGGAATTAAAACAAGACTACAAGAAATTACAATGTACTCAAAAATATGAAAAAATGCATGATGGTAGTAGTTTATTTCGTAATTTAGATTGCATAGCCATATGGCAACAGTGGGAAGGGTTAAAGATTCCGAAGAATCTCAGAAAATGCACTGTCATATAACATTTTAATTCACGGACCAGTCACTATGACGGTTTTGGTAGTTCTAGTGAAAGCAAAGCTGGTTAAGTGTTTGAAACGTTGCGTTTAATTCCCATAGAACAACCACTAGACCACAATCGCCGGAAAAGCCGCGCGATTATGTCTCGCCCACGTGGAAACCGTTACCAGCGGCGGGAAAACCGAGTCGGCCCGAGGAACGACCGGCACCCGGAAAATCATCTCGACCGGTGGAAACGACCGGGAAACCTGGTCATCCGGCCGACAAACCGAAAAGGGGTGACCAGACTCCCGACTCCCTCGACGAAGACGACGCTCAGCCTGGAAAGTTGCCTGACATCCTGTCGAAGATTCCATTGAAGGAGCAGTGTATCTGCGAACTATGCACCTGCGGGTGAGTAACAAATCTAATTATTATTATTACACGGGAAAAACTTCCTTTTTTTTTAACGGGGGAAATCATTCAAAAGCATTGAAATTTTTTTAATTTAAAAATGCTATTTATTTACTATATCACAATCTAACTCAGACGTATAGTAGTATTATTACGTTATAAAATTGTGACATTTTAGTTGGCGAATGGAATTGGTTTTATGTGCGTCACCCTGTATTAGATTCGTGAGAAATAAATGGCCCAGTAGTATTCACGTCTGTGTTGTTATTATTATTGTGTAAAGTTTGCAGACATGAATTAAAATTTTGTTTGCTACAATGCATTTTATAATCATTCTACAAGGTCCCCTTCGTAATTCTATAAAAACGATTGAAGTCATTCTACGTAGATACTTGATGTTTATAGCAGGGACTAACAGTGCACTTGAAATATTCAAATGGCTATTTATTTCCTGCCAATCTAATACGGGTTATTACGTGGATCTAGGAATAAACTGTATTATCGTGCGAGGCGATGTTTGTAACCTAGTGTTTGATATTCCGACAAGGTCTTAAATGGAAATGTTATCATTATTATAGCGCGGGAATAGCAAAGGAGATTGTTGTTACCTACTTTTTTCTAATACTTGGTACAAATTACTGCCTGTCTATGAAACGTTGGTATTATCGATTGGTATATTTGGAGCAAACTTTTATGAATGACAATTGCATTGTATCGTACACGTAATAGCGCTCTATCGACTTGCCGAAACGAGGTCATACCGTAATTTTTTTCCTTAGCCAATAGAGCAACTGTAAAATCCTATTCACTTTTCTCTATAATCGCGTTACGCGAACCTCAAGAGGTGTTCTTTCACCCTGAAGAACCGATTAACAGCAAAAACAAAAAATTGGTCCATGCTTAAATTGACGTCCCTTAAATGAGCTAGCTATTAAACGCTCGAATGAGCAGAAATTTTGGACATTTATCTTACTAGGAATCATCGTACATCGATATACATATGTATATTAGTGTCAAATTTCCTCAGGATACAAAACACTCAAACGCAACACACGAGCAAACTGATTGTGTATCGTCGCCTGTCGGATCGAAAGGGGCAAAGATCCGTCGGTGCTCCATTAGCGTTTGTCCACTTTTTGCATACGCCCCGCGATTAAGTTCCGTTTCTCGGTGATTTTGCCTATTAAAAAGGGACGGTTGGCAAGGGAAAAATTATTATTCGCAGAACGTGCTCGGAATTATTAATCGTTGGAACGGCGATCCCAGGCGTGGTGTTCGTCCCACGGCTGTTTGTCGCGTTACGGAGAGCTTTCGTCATCGTGACCATGCATATGCGCTGAGATTCTTATACAGGGTGTCCCAAAAAGATGGGACAATCCGCAATATGCATATTCCTTATGCAAATACAAATCGAAAAGTTCTTTACGGTTTTGAAATCTGAAGCTTCATTTTCGAGATATTAGCAGTTGAACGAACCCCAATCAGCTGAGCGGTGGGCCACACGTACGCGCAAACCTAGCCAATAAGCGCACGACACACTCTGGCCTCTGTGTCTGCGCGTACGTGTGGCCAACCGCTCAGCTGATTGGGGTTCGTTCAACTGCTAATATCTCGAAAATGGAGCTTCAGATTACAAAACCGTAAAGGACTTTTCGATTTGTATTTGCATAAGGAATATGCATATTGCGGATTGTCCCATCTTTTTGGGACACCCTGTAGATAACTGAACGCCATCCGATATTGTTTTTTCGATGTAGAAAATGTATCACAACAGATGGCTGGTGTCAAAGGTAACACTGCACAGTGGTCCAGAATGTAAAAATTGTGCGTCGTAAATGGTCAAAAATAAATTTCTCTTATCCTCTATAGAATTCAAATTAACAGATTATTACAGTCTAAGAGTTCTCCAGTCGAAATAAGACAGTCTAACTCCATGAAAATTGTGTACTTCTATTTTAATAAATTGTATAAAATTCAACTCTTTTAATTCCTTGAGCTAAATAAGCGTACGTACTGGTACGTCTTGATTTTGGATCACTGTATATTGACTCGATGTCGACAGTTACCACATGATGAAACATCGAAGATCAATTTGGATCTTGGATCAGGCGACCAAGTGTGATCGACTCGACCTGGTTCACGCGCCTTCATTATTTTTTTCCCTTCGTGAGAGCCTTTCGATCGAGCTAGTTGACTGGTTCCAGCCGCCTGCTTACAAACAATCCGCGATATCTTATGCATGCTCTCGCTGATTATTCTTTAAACACGATCCCACGGAGCTCGTTCTCTTGATAAGAACGTCACTTGTTGGTTTCTACGCTAGTATAGTTTACAACACACCTGGCTGGGTAAACATTTCCTGGATAGATAGAGAAATAGCGGATGGAACGTAAAAATAATTGTATTTAGAATCTAGATGGCTTAAATGTGTAATCTACTGTGTTCACTGAATCTTCTTTAACCCTTTAACATTCAGTGTGACGTATAATCGTAATTTTTATTACTTAACATTTAGAAAATCATATTTCAACTTTTTTAAGTCAACTGTATCGTGATTTAAGAAATCCTAGACGGTGACAGAGACCTTCTTTCGAATATTAATATTGCAATTTATAAGGTTGGAGTGTTCTTCCGTCAACTGTTTCCTGGCGAAACTGTTCAATTTATTCGAATCAACTGAATTAATACAACTTTTTTTTAAGTGAACTGTACCTTGATTTAAGAGATTCTAGACGTTGACAGAGGCCTTCTGTCGAAGGTTATTATTGAAATTTATAAGGTTCGAGTGAATCAGAGTTTAAAATTTTGTGAGTCGATTTTCTCGCGTTTTGATACCGTCTGTATGCATACGAAGGGACCGTGCGCGCGTGTACACGGCGGTGAAAAGTGGGACGCGAGACAAGCCCTTATACGGGAGGTTGTTCCCAGCCAATCGCGATCGGTTGTTCGGTCCTCTTCCTTATTGGAACGTGCTTCAACCGTGTGGTTCGCAAGGTGATCGTGATTTAAATTTAAGGTGATCCGCCCGTGACAACTTTTGTCTCGTCACGATCCACGAAGGATATTCGTCCATTGTTCGGCCGAAAAATCAAGGATTTCGGGGCGTTGTGGAGGAACCGATCCCATGTTCCCTTCTTTGGAGTTTCTCGATGGCGACCATGGTGACTCCTCCGATCCTCGATTGATACAAGGACGAGAATTTGCAAATCGGGTCAGGATTAAACGGTTCTCAATCGCGAAACGTTCTTTTTCCCTTGTTAATTTCACTTTGATTTGTTAAAGATGAATACAGTGTCCCATTTAGGGATGAATCGATGCCAGTAAATACAAGTAAATAATCGATACTTTCGTTTCGATACCCAGTATATTTAGACATATACTTGGTATTGGAAAAAAGTACTCGTATCGAATGGAGCGAGTAATCAATACGAAAGCTGATGAATGTGAAGGTGGTTGCTGTCCAGTTATATTACTTTGTTAATAAATGTTCAGTAATAAAATACATCTCCGTTAATGAATGTGGATTAATACAATATATTTTCGTTAAAATCAGAGATGGGCAAATTCATTATTTAGATAAAGAGAAAATTTGCGTGTCGATTTTCTCGAAAACGGAGCCCCGGATGAGAAAATGTTATACCAAAATATTTTCTTCTTTTTTAACGTAGAATCACCCTCTGCCCGGTTGTACTACGATTTCAGGCCCACCCTGTATAGAGCGTTGAATCATTCATTCGAAAAATGATCCAGCCTCCGAAACTTACACAGACGTAAGATCCTCGACAGCGTTCGGTCTCGGTTCACGATGAATGTGATCCCAATTCCCAGCTGATTGAAACGCTTGACCTGAATCGGGTCTACGCGAAACGCGATCGAGAGATCGCGGAAAATTGGCTGCCTGACTGCTGGTCCGCGGGTGGTTAGTTCCGGCCGCGCCTCGTCCACTTGAATCGCGATCAATTGACGTTCGAGAGCGATCCAAACTTTCGCAAATCTCGGCTCTTTGGGGTCGATATCGAACCAGGAATTATTATAAACCGAGTGTTTTCCATCGAAACGCAAGATCGACCCAATTCGACGAGTTTAATTCTCATCCGTTCCTGATTTTCCCAACTTAATTTCTCCCTCGGTGTCAAATTGATGAAGTGGTAAAAAAAATTAATATAACGTAGAGATAAGTAGTTAAATTTGTAAATTCTTTGAAATAAACGTGATGGAGACTTGGGTAAATTTACCTACAGGCAGAGTTGGGCACAATTTTATCCGAATAATTAAACAGTTAATGAGATTAAATAATTGTTTGCCAAGTATCGCATAATTTAAAAAGAAATTTATTTTATTATCAAATTTACAGTTTCCACGTTTAAACGATTAAAAATGACGAACTACTTTTTTTATCTTTTATTCGTTAGTCGGGACTCTTTATTTAAATAATGAATTTGCTCATCTCTGCCTACAGACTATCATTTCGTAGGAGAAAAATGTGTCAAATTGACACAAGGGACGAGGTGGGAGTTAAACAACTTGACAACTACCGTGATTAGATTGTTCAACACGAATTTTAATCTGTAATGTTCACTGGGTGAATATTATTAAGTTTTTTTTGTTACAAACACGAATCTGGAAGCAGAACTGTTCCGTACCCCAGTTTTTTATAAATATGAAATTTTGTAGAAACGTCCGATTTCGGTCAAAAAGGACGTATTACCATTGGTAAATGGTATTACATATGATCAAAAGGACCATAAACATTTTTTTATAAGTGAATAATTAAGGGTGGCAGAGTTGGGTGAAACTATTAAAAATCGAAATAAAGAGTGTCTGGTCACATAAGGCCTTTATCACTGTGGCAGTCAAAGTGTTAACGAAATTCCACCAAGTTTCGTTCGCTGCAGGATTTAATTGGGAATGGTATAAACAGACCGAAACTGCGAACGAAAGGTGTTTCGTTTCGCGACTATTTTTTTCTCTCAACCTTTTTTTTTTTGGTTTTAAAATCCCTGTTCGAATAGAGTTACGCGACAACCCGATATTCCCGATAAGCCCAAATAACAGAACACGCCGGAGCCTTCGTGCTCCTGAGTAAAGCATCGTTCTGCATTGAAATTTGGCTCGTGCACGCACGTGACTTGTACGTGTCCCCATTTTTTCGCCTTTCACGTCGGTGATGCATTCGAATTGTACCTCTGGGTACGTGTTCTGTTGCGAAATCTTCCTCTGACCGTCTACGAATTTACAAATGGTCCCTCGCGAATTTCGATGCGAACCATATTCGTGTTCCAATCCCAAAAGTGCTTCCATACTTGACTATATAGGTTTGGTTGGTTAATATTTTATTAGAGGCTTTAGAATATTATTTTGTTACTGTATATGTAATTTTATCACAAATATATTGCAAAATGTTATTAGAATATTGCGGATCTCTATGCAAAAGTGTTTTCACTCAGCTTTATAACTAACACCGAGTTACTTACATTAACAAACAAATAGACTTCCGTTGGTATAAAAATAGAGACCCAGTTCTACTTCTGAATCAAGGACATTTTTGACAGAATTGAATTATTGATTGGATGACACGAAAGAAGCATTCAGAGCTTCCAAAGGTATTATATTCCTCGTGTCCACACGTTCGACATCATTGTAAAGCTGTAAATGCAATTCTATTATCAATCATTCCGATGATCCTTGCAATCTGTTCATTCTTTTGCAATCTATCCTAAGCAAAATTGCACTATTTCGTGAAGAATAGAGTCGACACCACGTTTAATATTAAAATCATTGTATACCGTACATATTTTATATTCACTTTCGGAGCCTCAAATTTAGCACATTAACAGTAGAAATATCAACAAAGTGGTAGTTGTTCCAGTTCTGTAGATCCAGTCGTACCAGTCCTGTAGTCCCAGTCCTACCAGTTCTGTAGATTCAGTCGTAACAGTTCTGTAGTCCCAGTCGTTTCAGTTCTGTAGTTCCAGTCCTATCAGTTCTGTAGTCCCAGTCGTTTCAGTTCTGTAGACCCAGTCTTTTCAATTTTGTAGTCCCAGGCCTACCAGTTCTGCAGTCCCAGTCGTTTCAGTTCTGTAGACCCAGTCTTTTCAATTTTGTAGTCCCATTCCTACCAGTTCTGTAATCCCAGTCGTTTCAGTTTTGTAGTCCCAACACCAACCAACAAAATTTACATTACACACCATAATATCACTGCCAATGGACTTTCCCTGTGTTGTCCTTTTACCCTTCATCCATTCCTCACGCTGCAAACACGAAATATTTCGCAACTGACAATTTTTCTGCACAGCTTTTCGCAGGTGTGAAGGATGGTAGTTAAAGGTGTGTGTTGGTAGTTTGGCTGGTTACACTTTCCCTATTTGACATGGAGATTACAGTATCGTTCGATGGGACGCACAGCAGGCCGCGATGTTTCCTCGGCTCGTTAATTGCCAATTACACGGTGGCGAAATGATAAATACTGCGACGTGGCTACGTTATTCGGTGAAGCCAATAAAATCTGGCAGCTGTCTGAAAAACATCGTTATCGCGTTAAACGCGGCCGTTGCACGCGCAATCCCGTTAAACTGGAGCTGGATATTTGCGTGCTACAGTCGAACAGACTTATCGACGCTCGATGGCATAAACGTGGATGAAAAAAAAGCGAAAGGGAGCGTTGAACCGCGTGAATCATTTCATTTGGTATTTAATGATACTTTAATTCTTCATTAGTATGCGATTCGATGAGGTGACGATTAGCTTCAGATTTGTCTGTTGAACAGGTTTTAAATGGACAGTAACCCTGCTTAATTCACGAAGATTATTCTAGTATTATAATAGGAGACGATTAGTGGCGTGAAATACAGTCGAGGAAGAAAGTATCACGTGTATGGAAAATTAGCGATTGCGTGTCCCTCAAAAATCTTTGTTAATATTGAATATTTGCTACAGCATCTGATGCTTAAAATGATTAATCTCGTTTTCTGTAACTTTTGTGTTCCGTAAATTTTATATTTAGAAAATTAAATCGAAATTTTACCATTACCTTTGCCTTCAGTTCACATAAAAACCTGTCACGTTTAAAAAAAAATACGACGGCATTTACACCGACAGATACCAACAATTCCGGATCACCGATATAATCACCAATAATCTCAAACAAGAAAACAGCATCTGGTAGTTCAATGCCAGCTGTCGGCCATTAGAACAGAGATGATCCTCTGCATTTCCATAATCCATGTTTTCCCTCTTGTCGTCATCGAATCGTAAAAAAACACTGAAAAAAAACAACCCCACAGAATTCATTGGTATGCGTTTATTCATGGGCCGCAGGCAGAATGATTCGGACCCGGGGTGATCGTCGCAGTCACATCGAAACGTGTTTGAATTAGGATTCCTTAACGTACGGCGTGCACGAAAATCTTTGCGAGCGCACGCGACTGCTCGTGTGCCGGCAACCTGACGACAATGGTCACGTGTGCGTGCGTGACTGCTGCAGTGACGTGTCGCCGCGACTGCAATGGCTCGCCAGTTTATCAATGGGACGAACTGTTATCCACCGTGGTCGACAAACCATGAATATTACTCGGGGAACAATTAAACTAACCGACTGACGTCTAATTAGGAGACTCCTCCACCTCCCGACTGACGTTACGATCTAGAGCTATTACTTTTACCAGGGTATCCATGAGATGTTCGAATAATGAGCCAGTCGAGAATTTCGATTCGGGAGTCGATCGTATTTCGACCACTTTCGATCGATATCGGCAATGACCGGAATAACCAGAGGAACGGAAAATGATATTACAATAATAAAAATAGTAATTATAATTATATAATACAGTAGACTCTAACTATATTGCCACTAAACATATTGCCATGCGAGGCACTTCCCCTTCACACGTATTTTGGAACAGAAACATTCGCCCTCCCACCACGTTGTGTACGTCTGCGCACCAGCACGATCCAGCTTTTGCGCAGGCGCTGAGGCCGAGGCTATGACGTCAGAACGTAGCATGGAGGGGGCTCTGAACTCATTGCCATTTTACTCTCCTACAGCCCTGACTATGGCAATATAGCTAGAGTCCGCTGTAATATTATTTAGTTATTTAACGGGTATAAACCTAAGATTAGAAACAGTTACATCAATATATTATACAGTATGAAAATAATCGCGATAGGAAATTTTTAATAAAATATTAACTAAGATTAAACAGTTCTCAGTGCTCTATGTAGGAATGCCTTAAAATATTCAACAGAGCCACTAAAAAAGTCAATCAGATCCATGAATTTATTATCTGATTTCAGGATTTATTATGCTATTATATTATTATAATTATTCGATCGCAACCGCCTATACTGCGTTACTTAGCACTATATACTAATAATACATATTATTATATTATAAGAATCAGTAAGTCATGTTTTTGCAGTGTAACACGAGTGCTAAGAAGCGATCGAAATCCGAATCGAACTTCTCGACTGTCTCGTGTATCGCATGGATACTCGGGTATTTTATGAAGTCACAGCTCTATTGCAAACTTTATTGTCCGCAGACAGCATCGTTGTCCCCATAATCTGCCCCAGGATCAGCTGGAGTTTCCACGGGAGCCTATACACGCGGTAACATCGTATCGCGAGGAGTACGACGAGAAACACGTCGACAGACAGACGATCCGCCATCATGAGGATCATCTGCGGATGGAGGGTGAGTTCGTCGGCGAGAGACGAACTGATTACGTGGCGACGAGGGGCGAGAGGGCACCGGTTAGGAGACCACAGGATAACCTCAGACCTGAAGGAGCATTCGACAGTAAGTTTTCCTTGTGGAGGAGAGTGTTCTAGTGTTGGGGTAGCAGGGAATGGTGAACAGATATTTTCTGGTCTTCAGGGTCACTTTGACAGAGTTCAATTACATTTAATCAAGGATTAACAGTAAAACTTTTACCTATCGGTATGCTGTTCTCAATCTAATTCAATAATAATACTTGTATTAATCAAATAATACAAAATAATGTTAATTGCATTCACGTTAAAACTATATGATTTCGATATTTTAATTTATCACTTGATAGTACAGTACATAGTGTATCACTCATTGAAGACATTAAGTAAAGAACGACATACAGTATAAAAATTTCACCGTGGGTTAGGTGGGCTGGGACCTTTTCCCCTGAATGGAAAAAAGTGGCTTTTGTCCTACCCTAGAAGAAAAAATTGGATTCCCCCGTCCCTTCCCAGAGTTACAAAGTTTTCCTGTAATATTTAATATTGCAGTATAATTTGAAACACGACCAACAGCCTCTATTAAAAAAACCGCATACATTTTCAACGATTTATGACTTTAACAACAAAATAAAGTGTGTCCGGCTACGTACGGTCTTTTTCACTGTGGCAGTCGACGTATTAACACTAGGTTTACGGGCATTTATCGTGTACGTATCTCCACGGCACGCGTCAACGAACCCGCAGATTTTCTTTAAAAAACAACTTATTTTATACAATACACAATTTATGATCTCTGAAATTAATGCATAGCTATAGAGATAGGTATACCACATAGAGAATTTCGAGCTTAGAAAGCATTCGAAATGCGTCAAAATGACGCGTCCCGTAAACCTAGTGTTAATATTTTTGCCCCTCCAACCCTTACTGATAACCTGCCTACACCCATGCCCTTAGTTCTCTTTTCCTATTCTCGACAAAAATGAGAGCATCTTCGTTTCTCCCGCAGGCACGACCACCACGGAGCTGGTGTTCACCGGTATGCCCGGCGAACGTCCGAGCCCGGTACGTCGTAACACGTACACGAAGGTCGAGGGTGAATTTATGGACGCTACTACCACGAGGTCAGAGTATATCGACCATCGGACCGTGCAACGTGCCGAGATCATCAAACGAACGGACAACCTCACGGTGGGAGAGGGTGAATTCACGGTAAGTGGGATCGAAGGAGGATACCTTGGACGTTACCAAAGACATTCCAATTACATCTATCTCCTTGAATCGATCGGCAGCTTATCCAAATTGAAATTTCCTGCAGGGTACCTCTCACGTCAAGGAGGATTTCCACGGTTACGACACGATCGAACGACAGCCTCGACGCAGGCTAGCCTACACGGACGAGGAGGATCGTTTCTATAGCAGGACCGACGATCTGGAGCAAACCACGACCACACAGGAACAGTATCGTAATTTCGATCAGACGGATTACAGAAGCACCACGGTGATCAGACGGGACGACAACTTGAGGCCGGAGGGACCGTTCGAAGGTGTGCCGCGCACGAAAGACGACTACGTCGTTCCGGCGTTGACCAGGCGACCGGAACCGCAGAAACCCAAGGATAATTTACGACCGGAGGGATCATTCGAAGGAAGGCCTAAGGACGATTATAAACCGACCAGGGGGGAACGGGCGGACGTCAAAAGGCCGCAGGATAATCTCAGGCCGGAAGGTCCGTTCGAGGGCAGGCCGAAAGACGATTTCTCGCCGAAACGCGGAGAACGTCCGGAAGTTAAACGTCCCGAGGACAACTTGAGGCCGGAAGGAACGTTCGAAGGCCGGCCTAAGGACGACTTTACACCGAAAACAGCCGAACGTCCCGAAGTAAAGAGACCGCAGGATAATTTGAGACCTGAAGGACCGTTTGAAGGACGCCCGAAGGACGACTTCATGCCCAAGCGTGGAGAACGTCCAGAGGTTAAAAGACCCGAGGATAATCTCAAGCCTGAAGGGCCATTCGAAGGCCGACCGAAAGATGATTACATGCCAACCAGAGGAGAAAGAGCTGATGTTAAAAGACCACAGGATAACTTGAAACCCGAAGGATTGTTCGAGGGCAGGCCGAAAGACGATTTTTCACCTAAACGTGGCGAACGTCCGGAAGTGAAACGTCCAGAAGATAATCTGAGACCAGAGGGCCCATTCGAAGGTCGACCGAAGGACGATTTCACTCCTAAGAGAGCTGAACGTCCAGAAGTGAAGAGACCGCAAGATAATCTGAGACCAGAGGGGCCATTCGAAGGTCGTCCGAAGGACGACTTCACACCGAAGACTGCTGAACGTCCGGAGGTGAGAAGGCCTCAGGATAACCTTCGTCCTGAAGGTGAATTCGTGGATCGACCTAGGGAAGAGTACACGCCTGGAGAGAAGCGTACACCAATCAGACATCCGGATAACTTGTATCCCGAGGGCGAGTTCGAAAGACCGAGGGCCATGCCCTATGGACCAGGCGAAAGGGCGCCTATCGTCCGTCATCCTGATAATTTGTTCCCCGAAGGTGATTTTCCGGACAGAGAACGTGCACCATTCACACCTGCGGAGCGTAGAACGCCGATCAAACACGGCGACAACCTTCGTCCTGAAGGACCCTTCGAAGGACGTCCCAAGGACGATTACGGGCCGACAAAAGGGGAGCGCGCGGATGTGAGACGTCCAGAGGACAATTTGAAACCCGAAGGACCATTCGAGGGCAGGCCTAAAGATGACTTTTCACCGAAGAGGGCAGAACGTCCGGAAGTGAAGAGACCACAGGACAATCTACGTCCTGAGGGACAGTTCGAGGTACCAGAGAAGCCTGTGATAGGTCCTGCGGAGAGACGTACACCGATTAAACATCCTGATAACCTTCGGCCCGAAGGTGACTTCGAGAGGCCCGATCACGAGAAGTATCGACCTGCAGAGAGGCCAGAAGTGAAGAAGCCCAAGGATAACCTGAAACCAGAAGGCGAATTTGAGCGTCCTCGTCCGGAGACAGTTGGTCCAGCTGAAAGAAGGACTCCTATTAAACATCCGGACAATCTCAAACCGGAAGGTGAATTCGTTGGCAAGCCTAAGGATGATTTTAGTCCCACCAAAGGTGACAGAGCGGTGGTTAAAAGGCCAGAGGATAATCTGAGGCCGGAAGGTCCATTCGAAGGTAGACCCAAGGATGATTATCAACCTGTTCGTGGTGATCGAGTCGAAATCGTGAAACGTACCGATAACCTTCGAATGGAGGGAGACATCGAGACTTACAGGTCCAGGGACGACTACACTCAATTCCTGATCCACGAGAGGGCCGAGGTGACCAAGTATCAGGATAATCTTCGCATGGAGGGCGAGTTCACCGACGTCAGAACCAGGGATGATTTTAAGGTGGTCAGAGGTGAACGCGTTGATATCGTGAAACATCTTGATAATCTGAAACCGGAAGGTCCATTCGAAGGTCGTCCAAAGGACGATTACTTGCCCAAGAGAGCCGAAAGACCAGAAATTAAGAGACCTGAGGATAACTTGAGGCCGGAGGGAGAATTCGAGAGACCGAAACCGCAAGAGTTTAAGCCCGCCGATAGACCAGTAGTGATAAGACCAAAAGATAACCTGAAACCGGAAGGCGATTTTGTTGGACGTCCGAAGGAGGAAGTTCCGAAGAGAGGCGAGAGGGCGGACATAAAGAAACCGAAGGACAATCTTTATCCTGAAGGTGAGATGGAAATGCCAGAAAAGAAACCGTTTGGTCCTGCTGAGAGGAGAACACCAATTAAACATTCAGATAAGTTGCGACCGGAAGGGGACTTTGAACGCCCACGACCTGATGAATTCAGGCCTGCTGAGAGGCCAATTGTCAAGAGACCACAGGATAATCTTTATCCTGAAGGTGAGATGGAAATGCCAGAAAAGAAACCGTTTGGTCCTGCTGAGAGGAGAACACCAATTAAACATTCAGATAAGTTGCGACCGGAAGGGGACTTTGAACGCCCACGACCTGATGAATTCAGGCCTGCTGAGAGGCCAATTGTCAAGAGACCACAGGATAATCTTTATCCTGAAGGTGAGATGGAAATGCCAGAAAAGAAACCGTTTGGTCCTGCTGAGAGGAGAACACCAATTAAACATTCAGATAAGTTGCGACCGGAAGGGGACTTTGAACGCCCACGACCTGATGAATTCAGGCCTGCTGAGAGGCCAATTGTCAAGAGACCACAGGATAATCTTTATCCTGAAGGTGAGATGGAAATGCCAGAAAAGAAACCGTTTGGTCCTGCTGAGAGGAGAACACCAATTAAACATTCAGATAATTTGCGACCGGAAGGGGACTTCGAAAGGCCACTACCTAATGAATTCAGACCAGCCGAGAGGCCAGTGGTCAAGAAGCCTCAAGACAATCTGAAGCCTGAAGGAGATTTTGTTGGACGACCAAGAGAACTGGCGCCAACTAGAGGCGATAGAGCTGACGTTAAAAGACCCGAGGACAATTTGAGACCAGAAGGAACATTCGACAGGCCAGAAAAGAAGCCTTACGGTCCAGCCGAGAGACGTACTCCTATTAAACATCCTGATAACTTAAAACCCGAAGGAGATTTCGAGAGACCCGAATACGAACAGTATCGACCAGCCGAGAGACCAGAGGTCAAGAAGCCCAAAGACAATCTGAAGCCTGAAGGGGAGTTCGAAAGGCCTCAGTCGGAGCACATTGGTCCAGCTGAGAGGAGGTCGCCCATCAAACATCCGGACAACTTGAAAATCGAGGGTGACTTCGTTCGTAAACCAAGACAGGAAGCTCCCAAACGCGGTGAACGTGCAGATGTGAAGAGACCTCAGGACAATCTACGTCCAGAGGGTGAATTCGAGCGTCCAGAAAAGTCTCCGGTCAGGCCTGCCGAGAAGAGGACACCCATCAAGCATCCCGACAACCTCAAGCCGGAAGGTGAGTTCGTCGGGAGACCAAAGGACGATTACAAACCAACTAGAGGCGAACGTGCCGATGTTAAGAAGCCGGAGGACAATTTGAAGCCCGAAGGACCGTTCGAAGGTCGACCCAGGAACGATTTTGTTTGCGTTCGTGGCGAACGAGTGGATATCGTGAAACGGACGGATAATCTACGAATGGAGGGTGAGTTCACGGACACAAGAACAAGGGATGATTTCAAGGTAGTAAGAGGCGAAAGGGTGGAAGTGGTCAGGCATCAAGATAACTTGAGACCAGAAGGTCCGTTCGAAGGACGTCCCAAGGACGATTACACGCCGAAGAGGGCGGAAAGGCCAGAAATGAAGAGACCAGAGGATAACTTGAAGCCTGAAGGGGAATTCGAGAGGCCAGAAAAGAAACCTGTTGGCCCAGCGGAGAGACGTTCGCCGATCAAGCACGACGACAATCTGAAGCCTGAGGGTGAATTCATGGGTCGGCCGAAGGAGCAAGCGCCGAAGAAGGGTGAAAGGGCGGATGTCAAGAAGCCCAAAGACAATCTGAAACCAGAGGGTACCTTCGAGAGACCTGAAAAGAAACCTTTCGGTCCTGCAGAGAGAAGGAGTCCTATCAAACATCCTGACAACCTTCGTCCGGAGGGAGACTTCGTTGGACGCCCGAAAGAAGAGACGCCCACCAAGGGCGAAAGGGCGGACGTGAAACGTCCAGAGGACAATCTAAGACCAGAAGGTCCGTTCGAGGGAAGACCCAAGGATGACTTCACCCCGAAGAGAGCGGAACGTCCAGAAGTACGAAAACCGCAGGACAATTTACGTCCTGAAGGTGAGTTCGAGAGACCTCAGAAGTCTCCAGTTGGTCCCGCTGAAAGGAGAACGCCTATTCGCCACGAAGATAACCTTCATCCTGAGGGAGAGTTCGCGGGACGACCTAAAGACGACTTCAGCCCCAAGAGAACCGATAGGCCGGTTCAGAAGAAGCCCAAGGACAATCTGAAGCCGGAGGGTGAGTTCGTTGGCAAACCGAGGGATGATTACAAACCCACCAGAGGCGAGAGGACGGAGATAGTGGTTCACAGGGACAACTTGAAGATGGAGGGCGAAATTGACGTTCATCGATCCAGGGACGATTACAAGACCGTGACGAAGATCGAGCGCGTGGATGTCGTTCGTCGAGAGGATAACCTCCGGATGGAGGGTGAGTTCGTGGATATTAAAAGGCGTGACGACTACAGGGTGACTCGTGGAGAACGCAGCGAGATAGTCAAACACGAGGACAACCTTCGACTGGAAGGAGACTTCGAAAGACCAGATAAGTCCCCGGTGGGCCCAGCGGAGAGAAGATCGCCGATCAAGCATCCTGATAATCTGAAGCTCGAGGGACAGTTCGCGCAAAGGCCCAAGGCACCGACACCCACGAAGGGCGACAGGGCAGCGGTTAAGAAGCCGAAGGACAACCTTCGTCCGGAGGGTGACTTCGAGAGGCCAGAGAAGTCCCCGGTTGGCCCAGCGGAGAGAAGAAGTCCTATTAAACATCCTGATAATTTGTATCCGGAAGGTGACTTCGTTGGAAGACCCAGACAGGAGATTCCGACTAAAGGTGAACGCGCCGACGTGAAGAGACCGAAGGATAATCTTCACCCTGAAGGCGAATTTGCCAAGAGGACGCCTCAGAAGGTTGGTCCAGCTGAGAGACGAACTCCTATTCGACACGAGGACAATCTTCACCCAGAGGGAGACTTCTACATGTCGCCTAAAGATGATTTCACCCCGAAGAGGGGCGACAGGGCGCCACTCAAGAAGCCTCAGGATAATCTTCGACCGGAAGGCGAAATGGATGTCAGCCCATCGTCCAAGGACGATTACAGATACGTGAACGGAGAACGAGTGGAGGTCCGTCGTCACGAGGATAATCTGAGGATGGAGGGTGAGATTGACGTTCGACGATCCAGGGACGATTACAAGAAAATCACGAAAGTCGAGAGGGTGGACATAAGGAAACGGGAAGATAATCTGAAGATCGAGGGCGAGTTCATCGATGTTCGTCGTAGGGACGATTATACACACGTGGTAGGTGAAAGGATACCTGTGAAGAAGCATCCTGATAATCTACGTCCGGAGGGAGAGTTCGAGAGACCCCATAAGTCTCCTCTGGGGCCTGGAGAAAGGAGAACGCCTATCAGACATCCGGATAACCTGAGACCAGAGGGCGATTTCGAACGCAGAAGCCCGGAGAAGGTTGGCCCGGTTGAACGTCGATCGCCCATTCGTCACTCCGATAACTTGAAACCAGAGGGAGACTTCGTTGGAAGACCTCGCGACGATTTCACGCCTAAGAGGGGCGAGAGGGCCGAAGTGGTTCGTCGGGAGGATAATCTGAAGATGACCGGCGATTTCCAAGACACCACGTCCCAGAGATCCACGTATACCGTGGTCCGTGGTGAACGAGCCGAGATCAAGCGTCACGAGGACAACCTGAAGGTCAGCACAGGCACCATGGAAACTAAGACCACCAACAGGGACACGTTCGCACCTACCAAGAAGGAAGATTCTCCAACTAGTAGGACAGTCAGCCGTAGACGTCACATGGAGTCCTCGATCACTTTAGGGGACGACAATACAACGATGTCTACAACCACTCAAAGGAACTACAACACATTTACCAAACGCACTGCCAAGGAAGTAGCCGCCAAGATCAGCAGCATGGAATCCGACACCAGACGAAGCATCTCCACAGAATCAAAGACCCTCGAGAACGGAACAACGGTTACAACTATAAAGAAAACCGCCACTTCAGCCCAGACAGGTGAAAGGGTCTCATCAGCTCAAAACGTTCAACACCATGCTCAACACATCACATCGGATCATCACGCTATCCACCCGTCCGATGGTCCCCATCCAGACTCTAGAAAACATCTGACAAGTCAGCAATACACGAACGAACACCACCAGAGACTGCACACGAGCGATCAGCAACACCTTAGGTCCCAGAACCTGACTCAGTCTCGACGTCTGGTGGACGACAGATCGATCACGGACAACCAGAGCCATCGTGATCACACGATCGATCAGAATCAGAGACAGCTCGACAGACAGCATCAAGATTCCACCAAGAGGGATTACGTGAACACCCAACACATGGACTCGAGACAGTCCACCAGACAGAAGCAGCTACACGAGCAGCACACACTTTCTACTCAGGCTCGCTACAACTCCAGCCAGTCAAGCAGCGCGGAGTTCAGGCAAGCGATTAGCGGTCAATCGATCGAGAGGTCTCAAATGGACTCAGCTGTCACGAAGACCAGCCATCACAGGAAGAACGTGATATCATCCTCGTCCGCTGACGTTAACAATTCAGTGCTCCACAGACGTGGGGTGACAACATCCACAGAAGCTCTGCACACAATCTCCTCGACAGCTGCCGATCAGAAGAAGAGCCTCTCGAACCTCGCGGAGAGCGGTCAGTACATCAGCAACTCGAGTCAGAGCAGCGACAGGAAGAGTCTAACCTCGAAGCACAGAAGCAACAGGGATGGTAACCCCTGGGCCTCGTCCACCTACGAGCGTCCTCAGAGAATCGTCAGACAGGATAATCTGACAGTTGGTGGGAAGTTCTATTCGCACAGTGAGGCGAAAAGCTACGGGAACTTTAGCACCCAGAAGGTCGAAAGAGTCCAGAGGCAGTCGAATGTGTCGCACATCAGTCTAGGCGATGGGTCTAACGTCACGTCGAGCATGTACAAAAGGGAATACGCGCCCAGACACAAAGGACCCTGTCCTGCTACCCTTTTGGAAGCGAAACAGGCGCCTTTTAAGCACACCAGGGACACGCCCAAGCACAAGTTCTACATGCCAGTCGTTTCGAATTAAAATTCGAACCTGAAAACGGATCGGGGCACCTGGAATATGGACACGTACCGGAGAATGTTTTGTTTCTCGTTTCCATTGGTCTCTGGGAGTATAATCTTGGTTTTCTTTTCTTTTCTTTTCGCGAATCCCATAGGCCTCTAGATGCCCTGTGTCCGTATCGGGTGAGGTTAGGTTTAAATCGTGAAAGGTTCGAGGAAATTGCGGGCTGTGATGAACTCGCGTCGTTCAAACGATATTTATTTCTCGAGATAGAGAGGTCGATGGTGAATACGTATAAGTGTGAACTTGTTTACGTAAGTATATATATATATATATATATATATATATATATATACATATCCACAGGGTGTAAATTAAGTATCGTGTGAATCTAAGTTAACCAATCTTGTTGGTTTTGAATGCTTTTTTTCGAAGAATCGCGTTAAACCCTTATCAACCATTGAATATCAACCTTCGAATATAAATTAACAATCAATTTACAAGTTTCAGACATTATTATTACATCGCCTTCTCAAGATAGAATTGATAATCACCATAAACACTCTTATCGGTTACGAAAGTGAGGTTATAGAACGCGATGTGCACGCCACGTAGCGGAAAAAAAATAAATTAGACCCAAAAAATACCGATATATCGGTATGTGATTCACACGGGGCTATAGATGGTTAAATTGAAACGTAAAGTGAAATGGTTTATTTCTCCAGAGCTAAAGGAACTGGAGGCTCGGTCTTGTAGAATTTAATTTACACCCTGTATATAAGGAAACATGTATCCTCTGTAAGAAGGATATTTAATGCCGGTCGTCGATAGCTGGATATCGATCAGTCGGCGGGCGAGAAACGTTGGACTGTGAGAGAGCGCGCAGATCAAACTCGTTTAAGATTATTCTGTTGTTTTTTTCTGTTCTTTTTTCACATTAAGCCACGTGTATTACAAAGCAATAACTAGAGCTTAAATCCGTGATACGGATGGGCCCTGACCAATGAGTCGGGCTTTTCCATAGTTAGACTAGACGTAGCGTCGCTATCCGCTTCGATTTTATATTTATATACTCTTCTGTCTTGCTGATAACTGTATTACGTCACACTCCTGCCCTATCCCCCCATTGTCTCTTAACACAGTGCAATCTGCCATTAATCTATGTTCTAAGAAATATATAAATACACATAATTACCTTGTACTTGTCGAGAGGATCGTTCCTCCGACGCCATTACCGATTATTATTCCATTCTTATTTTCTCTCTTGTTTTATTTTATTTTATTTGTTTTGTTTCGCTTACCAGGTTTATCATGTGTTCTCGATCGAATAAAGGTATTTTGCAATTAATTTATTCGTTTTTTCCATTATCCCTCTTCGAGATCGTGCGATCTACGGATGTTTTTTTCAACGGTTTATTTTCTTTCTTTAGTATGGTAACATTTGAATACTGTGACGTTTCGACGAAGAATGATGTAAATTAGAAAATTGTTACTGTGGTTTATCGTAAATTCTAGATCGGGTGATGAGAATCATAAAATAGATTTTATTTCAAGTCTTGCCACTAACGAATTATCCTTGTCAATAGTAATCCTTTGAGGTGGAAAATACATTAATTACTTTATGTATGTTTTTCAAATTCTTTATTTCTGTGAATCGTGCACAAAATTCGGTAATCTATAAACTTACATCACGCACTGCAGATTATCTTGCATTTTCTCGTAGGCGTAAATTGTACAAAAAACACACAGACCAGATGTACATTTCCATAAACTACACTTCAGTCTTTAATTAGAACTTTCTTCGAAAATAAATATACTGTTTGATATAGAATAGGGAAGACCAGGAGCTGTTCACAACGAATGTGAATAATTTAGGCTCCGTGGACTTCGAGTGATCGTTTTGTTTAAATGTTCACTTAGATTTCTAGAAAATATAATCAAACAACTGCTTTACTATTTACACGTTAACAAGATTTGTTATAAATAAAAGGAGATAACAGTAACTCGTGTATGTACACTACGATTTACATATCATCGAGCGAAGGAAAATTCTTTTCTACGAATAAGGAAGAGCACGGAGAGGTACACTGTTCGAATCACGCGTAGATATAGTAACGGACAAAAAAATTACAACTTTTTCGATTTGTTTTACTTTCATTATTTTTTAACGTCAACTTGAAACTTTTATACGTGTTTAATATATATCCTGACATAGAATTAAAAACTGTACAGAACTCAATATATCAAGGTTTTAAGCTGATGTTAAGAAACAATAAACCTACAAAAACTCAGAAAAGTGATCACTTTTTTGCCCACTACTTTAAATTAGGTTGTTCGGAAAGTTCGTAGTGTTTTTAAGGACAGAGCAACAATCTACATTCTTTCCATTTTTCAATCAATTTCCATGTACCAGTTATATACAAAACATCGGTTGTTTTAATTAAATAGAAACTTTTCAACCTGCTTCTATCTAGATTTTATTTTCGAAGTTTTTTCTGACGAAGGACCTAAGTTCATAAAATGGTCCCCGTGCCATTTGTGAAGTTAGACTTAAATTTTTTTTAATACAGAACATTCAAAGTTTAATTGATGGAATAAATACCATAAAATTTTCCAGTCCAAAATAACATAATTTTAATATAAATTCGATAGAACGTAATTAAAATGGTCCTTTCTACTTGTTCATACATTTCATCGGTATTTCCGATAGAAAGTAAAGAAAAACGACACACAATTTGTACAGCAAATATATACACAGTTGGAAATTACCTGTTGACCAGATCAAACGATTTTTCCATTAATACAGTAAAAGGGTAGAAGAAGACACTGTGCTCGAAACACTACAAATTTTCCAAACGACCCAATTCATAATATTGTAAATATTATATGCGTAGAAACGTACATCGTTGTTACAGCAGTGCAAACAATATTGTTATAAAGTGCACACATTCGAGTATCGATATCTTGCTGGCGAATATGTTACGAAGTGTTAAGGTCGACTCTGTATCATCGAACATTTAAAATAACGATTCAAGTCGAGATATTATAATATCTGACGTCATACCGGTTACAATAATCTTTGTGTGTATAATATGGTGTGCTAATCGTGTGTAGCTCAACGTACAATAATAAAGAGATTATTTTGTCTAACATCGTTTATAGTCCACCGCAAGTCCAAGTTCCACATTTCACGCGACCTTAGTGCACACTTTTAGAATATAGCTGCGTTAGATAATTTTATTTTATAATTATGGGAATTGGAAGAGACTAAATGAAGCAATTATAAAGATGGACATACTTGGTGGATGAGAAATAGGGATCTTCATAAAGTTTAGCCCCTAAGCAAGGATCTAAATTCATAAAATGGCTCCTGGGCCATTTACAGTGATCCCTCGATGAATGCGACACGAGCAACGGCGTTATTTCCACCATTGGGGGAGTCCCTCTGTGGACCCAATCAAAAACAGAGTAAACAGAAGCTAAGCAGAGGCTCGGCTTCAGACAAAAAACAAATTTATGAGAGGCTGAAAACATTTCCGCCTTGCCACGAATGCTCCAAAGTGGACTCCAGTATGTCGCACTCATCGAAACATTACTGTATTAAGCTAGACTTAATTATTCTTTGAAAAAATCGAATGAAATTTCTAAAGCTATCATTTTCAATTTAGTGTGAAAAGGGTGGCTTTTAATTATCTTCTTAGAGTGTAATTTTAGAAATTCTTAGATCTAAAACCTTTTCTGTTTTATGTTCTTGCACATTTAGAAAAATACGCGTAATTTAATGTAGTTCATCAAATACAATTCTTCGATGCAATGCACAAAGTAGCAGAAAATAATCGTCGATCGGAACAAAAGCGTTATCTCGATCGATCTCGATCTCTCGCTGCCTCATTCACGCGGCATCGACCACGTCCAACACGTTCCGCCCTGAAAATTCACCAAAATATGAAAGTAACCCCGCAAACTCGTTAACAGGAGATCAGTCTGCGCTACGATGACCCCGTCTGTCACACAATGAACGAACGGTTTCTATGCAGCTGCGTGCATGTTCTCGTCCTCTCGTGGCTGCTTCACTCGTTCGTGGTTTTTTGTACTTTAGAAATATTCAACGACGTCTCCAGGTACCGAATAATCTTTCGTTTTCACCTTCTCTGTAATAGTACACCCCTCCCTTACGATTCAAAATGAAAGAAAATCAACTGTGATCAGACGGTGATTAAAAATTAATTATTACAAATTGATTTGTCGATTGAATATTTGAGACATACGAAGTGAATGTCAGTGTTGTTAAAAATAGTGTAACTGATAATCTGTTTATGTGAATGGAAAACGTCAGGGTACTTTAGTTAATGAAAAATCACAGAGAAATTCTGTATCATCGTCATTATTACACTTCGGATTTTATGCACTTTTGGCATACTCACATAAGTGTCTACAATTCAGTACTGTAAATTCGGGTAACTTTGTTCTCAAGTCAGGAAATGATAATTTTCGGTTTTGCAGGTATTTTTCATGAAATATTTTTAAATATAAAAGTTAATTTAATTGAGCAATTTACAGGACTGCAAAATAAAAAATCATTTCTTGTTTTTATTTTATTTACAATCGGTAAACAGTCCTTAATTACATTCGCAGTTTAGCCATTACTTTTTGCTTGAACATAGACTACGATTTTAATAACAACATTTAACTGCTCTCAGTCAGTGTATTGATACAATTTTGTATACTTCTGATCCAAAATTTAAACACGATCAATAATTCGTTCACATTTATACTTACCAATAATAATTTTAATAAAAAATAAACTACCAATAAAATTTCTTTGCACTCTTTATCCAGTAACGTGGCAATCAGTAACGACTTCACCGAGGAGCAACGCAACAACCCAGATCCGTCGATCGAGCGAATCTTCCGGAGTCCAAGCGAAACCAGCGACGCCCTAAATGAGCCGAAGCTCAGGCCAGAAACAGGGTCCAGCAAGATCTTCGAGCGATCCGAGGCGGTTGACAAACGTGTCCGAGTGAAACGGGACAATAATGCGAAGAAGACCAATCACAAGAGTATAAAC